CCCCCCCCCACCAAAAAAAAAACAAAAAAGAAAAAAAGGGGGGGGGGGAGGGAGAGAGAGAGAGAGTGAGACGATGACGACTACGACGATGGGCACGCAAGTCGCTGCTTACGATGGTAAGGTGCTGGGACATCACGCACGGTGGCCGGCTCTTTGCCTATAGCCGGCACACAATAGCTTCTGAAGAGTCACCAGAGAGGTAGGGAAGAGTGGAGATGAAAATTGAAGCAACAATTGAAAATATTTTGAAAGATGTGTTAGGGTTTGTTGGGTGAAGTGGGGTGTGGGGATTTGGGGTAGATTAATTTTATTTATAATATTGAAAATTTAAAGTATTACCCGCTTTTTGAACATAAAATTTTCCAATCTGATTTTTGAACTATGATCTTGAAAAGTCCGGTATAGTGTTTATTTCCACTAATTTCATATCTAAAAGGTTAATTATAACTAATTTCAATACTAAGAAACAATTAGATGTTAATAAAAATTTTATTTATGAAAAACTAATTAAAAATATATTTTATTAATTAAATATATTAAGGTCACAATATTATATAATTTATGGTTATGGTTATATATTGATCACAATACAACCTCACAGTCACAAATTATAAATTTTATGTCATAACTTATTTTTCAATCACAAACTTATCAAAATAAAAGATCACATATTATTCTATGATCGCTAATTTCATAAGTCACAACTTATTTCATGTACAAAAAATATCACAAATTATATATTCTATTGGTCACATATTATTTATCGGTTACAATCAATCAAATAAATTTTTACCACCATCATGACCACTCTTCATCCCACTCCACCACCACTATTTTGCCATAGGCATCACCACACCGCACCGTCGAGCCACCACACCAACACCAAATAATTTTTCGTGTCTTTCATACTACCCGGCACCACCAAATGCTCCACTGTCATCATCATCACCACCTATGGATAGTCACCACCTATGGATAGTCACCACGAGCACCCTATTTACAGCCAACTTTGTCTTCATCATCATATCTACACTTCAACAAATATTAACCATCCACCAATCGTCGGGAACAATCCTAGACCACTACCAATTCAACCCCGCTACTGCCACCTTCACCATCGCACCACAAACAGGCTCAGCTCCCTCATCTCTACCACACCACAAGCACAACCCTCACAAAAAAAAAATCCCCAAATACGTTGCCAGCACTATCGACTATCACCACCACAACAATCAACACAAAAAAAAAAAAAATAGACGAGATAGAGCACCTTGCTAAGCAGCTGCACCTCATCACCTAGTCGTGCAGTCCACCTCAACAAAAAACCACACGGGCCATCAACTCACCATCGTCTGGTAATTACAATGCAAACCTCTAAAGTCGCGATGCCACTACCACCACCATTGAATATGCCAATTTGCGTGCGATGTCAAGCACCATCGCTTTGAAGTCACGACGTTGCTACGACGAAGTGACAATTGGCGAGAGTGTCGTCTCACTGAATCGGCATCACGTTGCTCATTGCTCTAGAGCGTCGCCGCAGTGGTAGCCGTTTTGTGCATAGGCTCCAACTCTGGCTCCAATATAGAGGATAGAGAGAGGGTGAGAAAGT